TTGTATTCATATTATTTTGTTAGTTTTATTATTATTTATCACAAAAGGTAAATAGGTAAATTCCAAGCATATACATTTTTTTCTATTATTTTATACTATTTTAAATAATTTTATTTAATATTTGTTTATTTACCTACCTTATTTTATGGGCTATATATTGTAATCGTGTATATAGTATATATTAACATATAAGAGCAATTGGTATATTTGGTTGAGGGCAACTGGTATATAATTTTTAAAATCCCGATAACAACCGTGGGGGGCAACTGGTCAACACCCTGTGGCGTAGGGGAACCAGTTTTAGTCGGTGCGCGGCATGATCTCTCGGGGAACAGAGTATAGGGCCTTGCCGGAATAGATGAAATATCACTTATAAATGAGGTTAGGTAACCTTGGGGTTTAGAAGCTTGCTTGGGACGTTTTTCGTAAACGGACTTACGTCTCATTAGCCCTTACTCTTTATTTCCAGTGTTCAGAGCCGATAAGACGTAACTATACATCCATACCATTCCATCTACAATTGCCGTGTATTATGTTGGTCTATATTCTATGGCAATAGAACCACTAAAGCCACGACCATAGACAAAGAAAATACCACGACTATGCCTATACGTCTATACATGGTAATCACGGCTATACACGGTAATAATGGCTAATTATAGGCTAAATATATATTATAATATAATATAATAAGATTTTGATACATTTTGTCAAAATTCGATCTCTAAATGTTTATAAAAAAAAACTGAGCCTATGTATTTTTAATATTTTTCAACTGATATTGAAACAATATATCAGGAGCCTTGTATTAAATTTTTACACTTTTTGGCCCAACAGATAAAACTTTATTGATATTTATAGAAAAAAAACTAAAAAAAAATGAAAGCTGTAAATGTCCATAAACAGCTCAAAAAGAGTCAAAATATTTTCAAAATTGTATGGTGTATAGGAAATGCTAATATAAACATTCAGTGAAATTTTCATGTATCTTCAGTTATTCGTTTTTGAATTACAACAAAATAAGGAAATCGCTACATGAGAAATCGAGTGAACACAGGGGCGGAGTGGGAACTAAATCCAGGCCGGGAGTTTAAAATTTATCCAGGCCACCCAACAAATTTTTTTTTCTCGCTACGCTCGAATTTGATTTTTATATTTACCTATTCCAAAATTACTTTCAGTATTAGAAAAGTATTTCAATCACTATCTTGCTATTTCTTTTAACTTCTGTCTTCTAACACATTGTATTAATATACAACAAAGTACTAATAACTGAAAGTCTGAAAACATTACCACAATCTATATATGTTATATTCTAAATTATTACTGTTTGATGTTTGATCTGAAAAAAGTTAAATTAAATAAACACAAGTACATTTTATTCAAAATATTGATATATAAGAGCAAGATAAATTATCAATGAGGAAATGCACTAGGCAAATTAATTACATTTATTACAAATGTGTTGGAAATTCTTATATATTGTTTCTTAATTTTATTTATGAGCAATTTAAATAATAATAAGTTGTTCAATTTTTTTTTTAATTAAAAATAATCCCAACATAAGTCATAACTAGGTAGTAAACTAGAACATTTGACTAAATAGTTAATAAAATACTTTTAAGGTACACAAAATTACTTCATAAGCACTTACAAGTTATAGTTAGAGCTAGAAAAATACTGAGCCTCAAAATTACATAAAATAAAAATGATTAATACACTTACCTTCAGAACCTGGATATCCAGCCAACAATTGACTATCTTTGCTGTCACCTCAGTAGGTGTACCTTTTAGAAAAATTTAATCAAATAGATTAAATTTTTCAGCACATTTTGCAAGTAACTTCTTGTTTTTTCCGCGATCTTTTTCTGTCCCTCCTTTCCTTTTTTTTTATTCATAATTAAAATATAATATCGCACGATCAATAATTAAAAACTTAAATTTCCATTAGAGAGCAAACAAATTAACATGACGTTAACAACAACTCTGGAATTATAAAAGGAAAAACGTGGATACACTCAACACCAGTGACCAGTGGACAAATATCAAACACTAATGACTAATTTGTTTGGGTTTATTGCAGATATTATTTATAAAAATAAGTAATAACAATGACCAAAGTAAAGTGACCAATAAATAATAATACAAAATTAATATGTACTTATTAATTTATTATCATTAATTGTTATAAAATATACAAAATACTAGTATTAGACATTACTCATTAGTAGTACTTATAATCAATGGTATTATTAGTTATTATTAGCCATTTGGCATTGCTATATTCGTCGCCACTCAACATCCCTACAGGGTACAAATAAACAACTTGCAGGTTTCAACATGCGGAAATGCGTCGAATCAGTAATTTATAATTTCTTAGTAGGTAATTAGTTCTGTTGGATTGAACCGTGACCACACACTATCTGGGTGTTTTTTTATAAAAATAATCGACCTATATCAATATTATATTGCTTTGATTTTATTTGATATCAATATTTATGTACCAAATATTTTGTAATTTTATATCCAAAGATTTCTCATAGGAGTATACGATTGTACGAGGCTATTACAATTTACTATTATTTCATTAATAATATTTGTAATACAATAATTTAATAGAAACAAATTTTTGATGCATTTAGCATTAACTAATATTTTGTAAATTAATTTAAATTAAAAAAAAATCTAACAAAATTGCCAGGCCACCAGGCCATAGTATGGTCCAGGCCGTCTGGAAAATTCCCATTTCCAAACCGGCCACTCCGCCCCTGAGTGAACATCCAATGTTGTAAAAATTTGAATTTCAAACGCTCATAAAAATTTAATTTGACTTTCCGGTGGAGATTTTTTTATTGATAAAGGTAGACAAACTTATGAGTAATCTTGTATTACAGGTCATAAAAGCATTTTTTTTAGGACATTTTTCGGGATTTTTTAGGGCATTAAAATCCCAGCCCTAGTTATGACTGTAGGCTGTAGCCTTCTCGGTTCTTTCCCGCGCGAAACAGTTTTCACGTAAAGATTTAAATTTTATTAAATATTTTTGGCTGTAATGTGCTGCTGCCTACGGTCGTTGCAACATCGAATACGATTTCCCCCTCCAAGATAAACTAAAATTATATTTGTCTGTATCGGCAATTAGAACTTTAATTTATGAAAAATCGTAATTAATAATTATATTTCAAAAATTTGATAAAAAAAAAATACTATCGATAACTGTCGATAGTCCAACTACAAATAATCGGAAATTATCGATAGCCATGACAATCGATTTTTCTCCACCACTGTTGTACAATGTACAAGAGGCAAGACAGTATAATATCTTAAATCATGCTTAGTGCGGAGGGAGCAATTGGGAGCAATCCAGAGTTTACAACGCCATCTGTATAAGACGCGGACTAAGATACAAGGTATTAGGTAGCGCTGAAAATATTGGTTCCGCGGTGTGGAACCTTTTGGTGGCCGACGTCCCCCGAGTCCCGACCCCCGCCGACCATGTCGTTTCCATTATATTATCTTGGTCTGTGAAACGTGGTGATATCATAAGAATGTAATATGATAACAAATTACACATTTCATATTTTTCTGTCTTACTACTATTAATTATTTACATTCTAATATTTCATAAAATATTATGTCATATTATTATAGTATTATGGCTTAGCATAACAACTATTAAGTATATCATGATTCATGAAATCATGAATACTATAAGAAGTCATTCTCATGTGGTTGTGTGATGTTTTTCATAATATTAAATATAATTGGATAATGGATAATGGATAGTGTTTTACTTTAAAAAGTCTCTCTATAGATTCATCATTCATATAGTTATATTTGCTACAGGTAAAGTATAGAATATTACAAACATACTATAATTTAATATAAATATGTACATTTTGTATGTAACAATTGTTGTTAGTACATAGAGTAAATGCAATGGACATATAGGTTACTAGGGTTTTTTTTTGAACAATCTACCCAAACTCATTTAAAAATTCTACAAAATATGACACTTTTCGATGTATAAAACATCATGAACATACAAAAAAATTAATAATTTAAGAAGGCGTCAATAAATAACAAGATATTTATTTTCAAATTTATTAAAAATAGTTTATTAGGTATTATCTCTATCTAAAAATTAAATAATAATATACTGAAAATTATATTTGGTACTGAATTTGTTTTTTGCAATTTGCCAATTTCTATAGTTTACTACATTATTTTAATTAATTACAAGAGGTACAGATGAATAAATACAGGATTTTAGGAGAATTGTTTAGCTATAGGTTAATACAAAGATAAGAGATAAAATACATTTTTGGCGACATATTCTTTTCAAAATCATAAAAATTCACAGTTAGATTTTTTTGTTCTTTGATAATAATAATAATATACTGTGTGTGTGTACAGTAAATTATGACATTTAAATTTATAAATTTAAAAAAATTATTTCATTAAATTAGGTTAGGGTGACCATATTTATATAATAAAATAAAATAATGATACTAACAGTTTCGGTTAAACTCTAAAAAAAGACTTCCCAAAATGTGTAATTTTTTATATTATTGAGATTTCATCCTGTGTACTTGTTTGGCAAGGTATGTTCTTGGAAAGTAAAAGCCAGCTTTTAATTGCTCTGTGCAATAAGACATTACTCATGCTAAGCACTCTGATAATATTGCTTGTCAACTCTCATTACTTTGGTTTCAATATAAAACTGTTAACATTTTCTTTTTATTTAGTTGGTATAAAGATTTTTCTCTTACATGTATTTAATTATACAGAGATAAAGGAATTGAAACAAGACTATTTAATAAAAATGTGACAAATAGGATCCTGTCCAAGATTGTTGGGTTAGGTAGCAGAAAATGGTGCTCAAAAAAAGGGACAATATTGCTTAAATAGAAATGGTCATGTGGTCACCCTAAATAAGATACATCATACATAAATGAATATCGATAAATGTATTATTTTTTTGACAATATTTTGAAATTTCATTTGTAATCTTCTAAATCTTTTAGTACTTCTTTCATAATTTTGTCCTCTAGTATTAACATCTGTTCATCGTTTATTAAATTATGGTTTTTTTTTTCTACACCACATTTTTTTGTACTTTTATCAGGTTGCTGTCTTATTTTTATACCATCAATGCAGTCTTTATACCTCTGTAAATCTTGATCGTTCCCATTTTGTATTTGATTTTTACACTGGAAACTGTACAAAATCATATTTATGATGTTTTTTTGTATTCTTTTATTATGGGTTTTCATATTATTCCTATATTATATAATTTTTGTAAATTGATTTAGTGTATTTGTTATTTTAGTAATCCTAAAAATGTTTACAACTGTTGAACACACTTGATGTTATTGATTTTGATGAAAAATTATTACTTTTGTTTGAGAATTTGTTTATATATGATTTAATTGGTTGAATAAGTCATAGATAGTATTAATTTTTTAACTGTGAATACTTACAATTTTATTTGTTTGGTTTCCTGTCTAATAAAATTACAAGAGTGCATTACTTTTCTGGATAGATACATTTTATATTCTCAAATTGTTAAATATCAATGTTAAAGTATTGAGAAATATGCAATGATTAATTTATATTTATTAATGTATAATATTATGTTTGGTTGCTAGGTATTAATATAATGGTAAGTAGGACAGTACCTACACCTAAAAACATTTTTTTTTTTTTGTCATTTCAACTAATAATAATATAAAGCTTGGATATAAATGCAGGAAAACTAAATAATAATATACTACCTTATTTTCAATTTATAATTATAAGCTGTGACATTGTATTTTTATATGAAATTAATTAATGATGGATCTTTATTTTATGTTAGGTTTAAGAAGACACTATACAAGCATACATTGTCTCCATCTTACAAACTTACAACATAGCAAATTTGTATTCAACAGAACAAATTGTGTGTTGTTAGATTTAATATGAGAGTGAATTGACCTATTATCAAATTTACAGGTAAGGACTAAGGACATTTTCTGTGTTTGTATGTTGATATTATACAATATTTTAATTTTTAAGTGAGTTATCTTAGGAATAAATTGTAATAATTTGCATTCTAGGTAATGGTATGAATTTATTAGTTTTACAATATTTTTTTTTAATGTAATATTCTGAATTTTTGTCTTCATTTTAAAAACTAAGGTTGAGAGCATTAGGGCAAAACGTGTGTGTGGGGGTGAATTTTATCACTCACCAAGGAGGGAGAGGATGACTAATTGAGTGAATATTTACTTGTTTTCTTTTTGCAGTAGTTGTTTTTTAAAATCTCCATCGGCATTGCTCATTGTGATGATTATCGGAAACACATTGTTAATGATCAAAAATCGGTTATACGCTAAACGATCAAACTGACCACATGTATATTCTATTATTGTGTACAATTCTGTAAAATTATAATGCTGTAGATATGAATGTTCTTAGCCACGATAATAGTCGATGGTAAAATGAGCTATAAATTATAATGTTATTACATATTATGTTTAAAATATATATAATAGTATTACTATCGACTGCAATGTTGACGCTTCTCAGTCGTCAAACGAAAAACAACCCAGAAATAACTTGAAGCCTAAATATTCAAATATTCGTAAATAACCATATTCTTTAATGACAGTATTTTATAATAATTATTGATATAATAATACTTGCCTTAGAAAAATAGATAGCTTACTCCCAAGGGGAATGGGTCTACTGCGCCTTAGCCACCCCCTTAAACCCGTACGTAGTGCGGTTGATGACTCAAATCTTCAACTCTTCAGCAGCTGTCGGCTCATAGAGATGTTTTAATACTTTTTAGCTTAAGTACTTTTAATGCTCACTCACCAAAAGTGTGCAAGTTTTAAATTCATATCAAATAAAATATTACAACATTCTTGCATGATGATAGTATAACTATGTAAATAATAAATATTGGTAGCCGTGTTTGTAATATAAATACTGTGGTAAATTGAGGCCATGTTATGGTTATTTAATATTTTGTTTTTAAGTTCTACCTGTTGCTCTTTTGTGTGGTATAGGATTGGTGTGGGAAGAGTCACACCTCTTAAAATTAAAATTTTGATTGGCCAACCATGGTATATCAACTATCATAATATTATTTCATTAATTTCGATCTGCGTTATTTTTCCTACTGCTTAATCATTCATACAAACAATTTTATTGAGCTGTCTAACTGTTGAAATATTGGCTGAAAAATAAAATTTTTATGTGATATCATAAATTAGGTAACTTCATCATTATTTGTTTTAAATTATATACTATTAAACTGGTGTTTCTAAAGATACATTATATTAAAGTTTTATACAAATTATTTTAAATATTATGATGTATAAATGTTTAGTTTATTGTAGTAATATAAAACTATGCATATATCCTATATGTTATATTTTCTGGAGCAGGTTTGTCTCTTTAGGAATTTTAAAAGAATTTATGCCATCTCTGGGTTGGGCGCATGTATTTCACATATATTGTAAGGGAGCATCAGTCTATGTCTGAAGCACAGTTATCTAAACGTTAAGATAACCGTTTTCTGGGGGTATTTGGTTAGCAGGTGTTTAACTGTAGTTGTGGCATTGTATGTGGAGCATTTGTGTTGTTTGTTAATGTTCAGTAGGTGCTCAAAACCTCATTATTATATTACTACAAATGCCTAAAATATTATTATACTTACATTTTCATATTTTGTTACTTTCATCATTGCCTGTATTGTCATGAAGAGTCCCAACTCCCATGAGATCATTTATTTTAATAACACCATCCTTATTAAAATATTTATGTACTTACTATTTTTTGTTACTTTCAGAATATAGCTGTAACAATGGATTTAAGTGATGATGAAGAATTTTATGATTCTGATCAGAGTGATGTGGGCGAACAAAGTGTACACACTATGCTCAGTAAAACTCTTTACGATAAAGATAATCAGTATGAAGAATATGGAGAACACATTGCTGGCGAAGAAGAAGCATTAGGCAGTGTACAAGAGGAAGTACTTGGTAAAGTCACCGATGATACTGGTCAAGAAGAAGTTGCTCTAGGTCCAGTATGTAGTGAGATAGAAGATACAAATGAAAAATCAATAGAGCCAGATTCAAAATTTGTTAAAAAATTAGAAGATGCTGAAGAAGTAGTTTTAACACCAGAAGTTATAGGCGAGTTAGAAAACAAACATTTTTTTGATGGTCTTGATGATGATAATTTTGAACCAGTAAAAAAAAAACAAAAACTAAGCAATGAAGATAGTAATAATGCAAATCCTCATAAAACTATTGTTATGCATATACCCCAATTCATTCGTTGTAGCAAAGGTGGTCAATCTATTCAAGTCCAGTGAGTTGTGTTTTATGAATACATTTAAACAGTTTGAAAATTATTTATTATACAAAGTTGTACCTATTAAATACTTTTGTATTATTGCAGAAACATTGTATGTGGTGCAAACATGGGATGTCCTTTGGATTTGGTAAGAATAGTCATGTGGACTAGTAATTCTGAATATAATCCACAGCGATTTAATGGACTAATTATGCGTCTTCGTACACCCAATGTCACCAGCCTATTATTTCCATCGGGCAAAATGATCATGCAAGGTGCTAAGGATGACCGAACTGGAAATTTAGGATGTCGAAAAGTAGCAAAAATTTTAGAACGACTTGGACACAATGTTAGTTTTATATTTTGTACCTCTTATATTATTATATTTCATCATAACTAATATTGATTATGTAGGTACAATTTTATGACTATACAGTTCATAATATTGTATGCACCTGGGATGTTGGTTTCCCAATAATGTTAGAAGAATTAAATACTGCTCACTCACAGTTTACCAGGTATTTTTTATTTTTATTATTTATATTTTCTTTTTCTTCAAATTTGTATAAACATAACTTAATATACAATTAAAAAATTTAATCTTAAATATCTATTATATATTGAAGCCAAATTACATTTCAGATTCTGAGCGGAACAATGAATGTATTGATTTTACGATGATGTGTTTTTTTTTTATTTTGTTTTGTGTCTGTGTACACGAAAGGTAGTTGAAATAATTTTCAACTTCAGTATCTTGTATGATGGGAAAGTGAATCTAGTATGTGCATTGGGGAGGTCAAAATTTAAAATTCCCAGTAATTTTTAAAAGCGCCAAGAAAAACAAAAAAAAAATATTGTAGGCACTAGGCACCCATAGGTCTGCGTTAACCGCTATTATGATTAAAAAGCAGGTAAGTGAATGTCACTCTGCTGTACAGTAGGTTACAAGTGGGTTAATGTATAATATGTTGAAATCAAAGCACTCTTTCTGGTAGATATTTTGTATACAGGATAAAAAAAAATTAATAAATAAACACCATTGTAAAACCACTTGCTCCGCTCAAAATCTAAAATTAAAGAAAACCAGGACATTTTACGCAAAATTGGTTTTTTGACAAAATCAATTTTGGTTTTTGGTGTAACCCTAAAATAAATTACCATAGATAATGAAAATTTCACTGAATGTTTGAATTTTCATTGTCATACACCATTCAACTTTGAAAACATTTTGACTCGTTTTGAGCTGTTAAAGACATTTTCAATTTTCAATGTGTTTAGTTTTTTTTCCTATAACTGTAAAATTAAAAAATTTAAATAAAATTGTATTTGTTGGGTGTAAAAAAGCAAAAAAAATTTAATACAAGGCTCCAGATATATTGTTACAATAGTAGATGAAAAATATTAAAATATGTAGGCACAATTTTTTTTAAAAAACATTTAATATTAAATTTTTGACACATTTATCAAATTTTAAATTTTAAAACGATTTTATAGTTAAAAATTTATAATATGTTAAACATTCATGGCTGAGGATTGAAAATTTAAAACAATAAGTAGTTTATTCCGTAACCAAAAAATCTCAAAAATATTAAAACAGTTTTTTTTTTTTTTAGTTATTGTATGATCAAATTTGGACGAAATTACATATTAAATAACCAAGAATAACAATTTTAGTTATTTGGTTGTAATTTTATAATATTAATTCAACTTAACGGCTACCATATTAATTATAAGTAATAATAATATAAAAATTCCCCCCTTTAACAAACCGTCATCTCTCAGAATCGTTTTTCTTATACAGTATTATATCATTGAATTCAAATTTAATACCACCCATTATACAGTGACTCACTTGTAAACTACTGTACAGTAGAGCGACATTCACTTACCCACCTTTTTTTAATTTGTTTTAATAATTAAGTGCTAAATACATTTTATTTATGATATAATTTTTCATGTTCTGAATGAAATTTAAAACATAAGCAATGTTAAATTTAAATTTAAAAATGTTTTATTCAAACACACTTTAAGAGATTAAGAATGAAATGAAATCTTATTTAATGTCATATAATTAAACGAAATGTAATTAAATAATATAATATATATTTATGTGTTTAGCTTTGAGCCAGAAGTATTTCCTGCGTTAATTTATCGGATGGTCAAACCAAGAGCCGTGTTTTTAATGTTTGTAAATGGAAAAGTAGTTCTAACAGGTAATATTTTTTTAAAAACTTTCTTATGGCTTATCTAATGTCTAGGACTAGAACTAATAAGTAACTAATTAGTAACTAATAATGTTCTTAAAGCTAATGTTTGAGCAGGACTCAAACTTTATGGTACTAAAAAGAATCTTAAATAATATGCCCTAAAAATATAGAAAATAGCAATAAAAAAAGTATTTTATATTGATCAATGTTTATTAGTTTATTGCTTCTTTGGTGTATTAAATTTTAGATTAAAAAACAAAGCATTAGAAAATTGACTTTAGAATTAAAAATTTATCACAAAAACTGAGAAAATAGCAATAAATATCTGAATTGCTTAATATGTAACAAACATTTTATTCTTAGAATCTTTAATGCATCAAAAAAATGTATACCTTTCTCTGAATTGTTTAATAAGTAATAACTAACATATACTATAGAATCCAAGTCCTAATTAAAAGTTCTTGTTCTCATTTTTTTTTCTTCAGTTTTGACAGTGTTTTTGAAAACCTATAACTATAAATCTGATAAACATGTTACATTTTCTAATCAATAATTTTTTATAAAACTTTTAGGCATTAGTGTTATATAAAAATTAACATAAATCTATATGCTTGTTACTTTATATTATATATATATATAACAAAAGAGTATTTCCCAGAGAAGGTTTTATATGAAAGAAAATTTTAGGAAAATCCAACGGTGTATAATACATTGGTTGCTATTGGTTAATCGAGCATGTTTGTTGATTTGTATTATTATCTTTTGTCAATACACATATATATAATAGTTGTTCCAGAGTTTAGTCTGTATAGTTATAGTTTGTGTATTTATATAGTTAGATATATATATATATATATGTGTGTATTTATGTATATAAATAAATGTTTTAAGACAGAGACAACACATGCGGATGTAGTGTCCTCTTAAATCATACACTTACCTAACCTAACCTTACAAACAACACGGGGTCAGCGGTCTACCGCAGGTAGATTGCTTACCTAATAATGTACTGCTGCGAATCAGAATTTTTATTCCGGGCAACGGAAAAGTTAAGATAAATTTTGAACACTATTCAGCTAGTAGCCTAGTAATACTATATAATGTACTTTAAATATTTTATAGTAATAGTACACAAATTACAAGGTGATTCTATATTCATTGAATACCCATTATTTTGAAAAGTATTGATTTGACTTGTCATTTGATATTTTCATTTTTGGTAATTTATTATAAATGTTACTACCATTTTATATTGACCATATTATTTTCACGCTTATGTTTGTTCATACAACTATCATTTTTAAGTTGATTGCCTACATATATTTTTATTTTCATAATTTAAATCAACATTTTTGTGTATAAGTAATAACTATTTAGTACTGAATGAATAGTCTTATTTATAAGCATTTTCGCTATAGATAAAAGGAGTAAAGGGGCAAGAGATCCTGAAAAAATAGTGTGGTGCACAATTAATTCATCCAAACTTAAAATAATTATTAATAAAAAGAATAATTTTTCTTTAAGGCCGCTGAAAGCTGGTCAGTTTTTCATGCATTTAGACCAATAAGAGGAAGAAAAAATATATACTTACAGAAGTCCAATTTTAATTTTTTTAAATAATTGTATTTCCTTTTCTCTTTTCTAGTTTATATAGAAAATAGATTTTATATTTTTTTTTTTAGAAACACTAAAATAAATGTAAATTTTGAAAAAAAAAAAGAAAATTAATTTGGTTCTATACTAACTAAACAATACAAAAAATAAAAAATCCATTTCCTACATAACCTAGAAAAGAGAATAAGAAATTCAACTATGTTTTCATAATTAAAATCTGACTTTTGGTGCTGGGTGAATTTTTCTTCTGCTTTTTGAGACTTTCATGTTGAAACTTTTTTGATTACGAAATACAGTGACGTGTAGGGCGCATGTAAACTCCACCAAGTGCGACCTTTTTAGACCTTTTTTCATGTAAACTCCACCGGTACGTTTTTTTTTACCTGAAAAAAAAATGTAAACTCCACCGGTACATTTTTTTTACCTGGAAAAAAATGTAAGCTCCACTGGTATGTTTTTTTTTAAATTGTAATCCAAATCCAATCTGATTAACTAAGATTACATAATTTATGTGGGTGCAGTTTTATTTTAATCACTGTTATCTACCGTGTACGTGTAGATAACCGTGATTTTAATATATTTATTGTATTTAAATACAATGATTTAAAAAAAAAATCATATAAAAATCAAATAGAAAAAATAGAAAAATGTATAATTATTAACATTACTTTATAGGTAATACGTTCCTACATAATTTATGTACAGATGATTTATTATTTATTTATATTATATTTAGATACTTATATCTTTTTTTACACAATATTAAAATAAATGATATAATAATAATTAATAGTGTTACTAGTTCGTAGTTAAAATAATGTTAATTAAAATAAATGAATAAAAAAATAATTACTTAAAGAAAATTTAGGTTTTAAAAAAATTTGTTTGGTTTTAAAATTTGGTTTGATAATGTTTAGATGCAGCTTTGACGAATTGCATAGTGGTAATATTGTTTGCCTTAAATGACGAAATGATGGTGTTTAAATATTTTTGGCGTGTCTTTGATTGTGAATTTCTAAGGTTATTAGGTTCATTAATACTGTTTAATTTAATGTAAGTGAATGATTGAATATCTAGTAGAGCTTTTGTAAAGTGATGTATATTTGGATGTGTGTTAGCAAAGGACTGAGCTAAATGTGAGTGAATCGACTCGCATGCATTCGTAGTTAAATTCAATTCAGCACTACATTGAGCCCAAATATTTGGTGGAAATAATGCTTCTTCTGTAATGTTTAAGATAAGTCAGTCGAAAGTTGATGTGTATACACTATACATATAGTTTTAATCTGTGGATTTTACCATCGGTGGAGTTTACGTGTTTTCAGGTTAAAAATACGTATCGGTGGAATTTACATGTTATAAATCCAACCCTAAAATCGACTACCTGTAAATCGGTGGAGTTTACAATCGCCCGACGTGTAACTGCACATATGTATGTTACAGATTTCCAAGAATCTTAGCCATAGGTTTTCTTTAATTACATAGTTCGGGAGAACTCGCACACACTAATGATCAAACACTACACACAGAGTCACACATCAGTCATGATGGATATAGAATAACAGAATATTGCCTAAATCCGACCCTAAAATTGTTTGCATTCAACAACCATAAATGTATGAAATTAAAATTATAAGTATCCATTTAAAAATCAATAGTTGGTCTGGTAGCATTGTCAACAACAAACATAAAGGTGAAAAAGTGAAGTCAATGATTTAGAAATTCTGTTCCTTAAATTAATAAAAAAAAAAAGTTGATATTGTAAAAATAATGTTTTGCATAATAATATCATAATGCGATGATTAATCTTTACCATTTTATTTGTTTCAGGTCTTAAAACAAAAGCAGATATAAAAGAATCTGTTTTTTTAATGCAAGATGTATTAAACAATTTCAGAAAAACTTGAAACAAAACATTGATTATTATTTTTAAATTATTAAAATATATACTTAAATACTATATAAATATGTATGTATATAAATAATTTGTTTTCTTGAAAAAAAATTAAACCAATGTTTCCTAAGTATTAAACCACACATTTCTTTATTTGAAATAAAAACTGTGCCTATAAAATTATCTGTTTATAGAAAGTCTGTTTTTATGTTAGAAATTTTATCAGAACTTGATTCATTGAACTCCATTTTAAAAATTATGAATTTTCTTGATAAATAAATTCCATTAAGTTACTGTAGTGATTCATGCTTCTTATTCAATTTTTCACATTCTGTATTCTCTTAACACATAAGCTTATTGTACATTACTTGTTTAGATTGTTTATTTCTAATAAAAAAAAAAAAGTTAATGTAGAATATTATGCATTGCAATGTAGGTAACATAGGAATTTATAAATTAATATTCTTCATTAAATTAAAACATTAGTCAATAATGAAATCTAAATGTACACATTAAGTTAGTTTGTAACTAATTAAATACATTAAGAAACGTATTAAATAACTGATATTTTATATTTGTTATTCGACTTATTTTTTCCCATCAATGCTTTCTTTAGGGGAAATGTATTGATTTAACAATGAAGTGTGTTTTTTTTTTATGTATGAATACAAGATAAATAATTGAAGTAATGCTTTGATTTTCAGCTTCAGTATTTTTTCTAGTGGAAAAGTAATCAAGTGGTAATTTTTCATAGGTTAAAATTTAAAATCACAGTAGTTTTCAGAAGCATCAAAGAAAACTAAAAATCACTCAAAATAGTTTTCAACAAAATCTATTTTGGTTTTTGGTGCAACTCAAAAAAAATAACCTTAGATTGGTAGGTATATACATTTTACCGAATGTTAATATTACCACTTTCTATACACCATGTGTTTTAAAAATATTTCGACTGAGCTATTTATATAATAGGCATACAGTTTTGATTTTTATTGGTTTTTTTTTAAATTGTTGTCGATAAAAAGTGTTTCACTTGGTAAAAAACTTGAAAATTGAATACAAGGTTCTTATTGGTAGGTACGTTTTTGTTAGGTAATAAAAAAAAAAATTTAGAGTAAATCCACAATAATTGTTATGGGAGTCTGAAGTTCGAATTTAGACTAAATTCTCACAATCAAGAAATTTTGCAAATTAGTTTGAGTTAGAATTTCAAAAATCGTTTTCTTTTTATATATGAGAATTGAAAATTTAATACAAGACTTATTAAGTTTTTCTACCTAAAGCAAAAAAAAAAAAAATACTGGAAAATCAAATTAATTCTTTATAAATGTTTGAAGTTCAAATTTTTTCGATATAAGGATATTCCAATTAACCTGTAAAAGCATACACCTCGTTGAATGATTTTCTTATTTCAAAATAAATCAAAAATGATCTCTATTCTCTAAATCATATATTTATAATTTTATAACATGATATAATTTTCAAAACATTTTGTCTCATTTTGAACTATATATTTATTATATAGACATTTGAAATGTTGTATAACATTTTTTTCGTTGGTCAAAACCTTGAAAATTTAACACAAAATTCTTTAAAGCATTCAATGTTCAAAATTTAACATGAATCATCAAACTCTCGAAAATTCCTAAATTATTGTGTAGGTAAAAATGTATAAAATGTTAATTTTTA